TAAGCTTGAACCTCTTTCCCATCGTTGTAAAGTTGCATCTCTTTCTCTTTTCTACAAATACTATCATGGTCACTGCTCAAAGGAGTTATCATCTCTAGTTCCATCAACTAAAATTCATTCTCGTTTTACTCGACATTCAGCTAAGTCTCATTCGTTTACTGTATCTGTCCCTGCATGCTCTAAAAACTTTTATTCATCTAGTTTTTTTTCCCGCACTTCAATCCTTTGGAACTCTCTCCCATCTTCATGTTTTCCTGACTCATACAACCTTCAACTTTTCAAGTCTTCTGTCAACTGTTTCCTTACTCTATAACTCTGTTCTTTTTTTTCCTAGTAACTCCCAACTTGATAGTGGTTGCTTGCAGCCTTGTTGGGAGTGAATGCAAATAAAAAAAAAAAAAAAAAAGAAGCAGTTGAAGTATAACACTTTGTATCTAAGGACAAAAATTGTGCTACATAGTGCTATTTTTCAATAAACCATTGTTTAAAAAATTTTGAAAACATGTATGAAGCTATATAAACATATGTTGATAAGAAACATGTATGAAACTATATAAACATGAGAAAAAATAGCCTTAATTTTTTTTCAGTTTTTTTTTTAGCTTTCTCAAAAAATGAAAAAATGAAACTAAATAAATTTTTTTAAATAAAACTTCATCATAGTTCATAAATGTTATGGGTTTGTGTTGCCTAACAAAAAACTTATAGCAATTTAATTTGCTATAAGTTTTTAGGTTTTTGCTTACCATCTGTACGTGTTTCATATTATGAAAAAAGAAAGAATCATTTTAAAATTATTTTAAAAATAAAAATAAAAAATTGTTATTGAATTTTTTTTTATTTCTTTGACTTGTCATGTCTGAAAAATAAGTACCAGACTACATTTTTTTCAGGGAAAGTTTTCTTTGTTTTAGGGTCTACATACTATTGACTACTTTTTTTTTTTAAACTAGGATTCTTCAAAGTCAGCAGTGAAGTTGACGCACAAAAAGAATAATAAAAGTGATTCAGAAAATGTTCAAGAAGAAAATAAAAGTAAAGAAAATGTTAGAGAAGAAAATAAAACAGAAGTAAAGAGAGTTATAAAAAAAGATAAAAATTATGTTAGCTATAAAGTTTTTTTTAATATTTTTAAATTAATGTTCAATTTTTGTTTAAAATAGCAATTTTATATTTTTAACTTCAAAACAACATTAGCAATTTAACCAAGTTTTATATTCTTTTTAATTTCAAAATAGAACAATTATTTTTTACTCTCTCATTTTTTATGTTTTTTTAGTTTCCATATTTTAAATTTGTTTTGATATTGGTTTGCCTAGTTCTTACTTATACACTAAAATGTAATATGGTTAATATCTTTCCTTTTATCTCCCACTTAAACTGTAAAATATACTGTGGTAGATATCTTTCCATCTTGTTCCCACTTAAGTAAAATGTGCTATGACAGGTATCTTATATCTCTATAATATATAATATCTCTTATTAACTCTCCAATGAAGAATTTCAAAAAAAAAAAAGAGATAGAATATGAAAAAGTAGAGGGCTGGAGTTTCAAAAAAAATACATAAAATCTTTTTTTTACAAAATCCATACTTAAAGCCGCAAATATATTTGTGGAATATTGAGGAACTTTCAGATTCGATTGGTTCAATCAAATTGTTGAATTTCTGAGCATTTATTTTACAAATCAATTTTTTAATAAGTCAACAACAGTATTTTAGTTAAAATTGTATAAATGTTAATTTTGAACTGTTGTTTCACTATTTTAAATTTGTCAAAATTTAAAATCAAAACCATTTTTAATCAATGTGATATTAGTATAAACCTTCTAATTAATGTGATATTAGTATAAACCTTCTAATTAATGTGATATTAGTATAAACCTAATTAATGTGATATTAGTATAAACCTTCTAATTAATGTGATATTAGTATAAACCTTCTAAATAATGTGATATTAGTATAAACCTTCTAATTAATGTAAAATTAGTATAAACCTTCTAATTAATGTGATATTAGTAGAAACCTTCTAATTAATGTGATATTAGTATAAACCTAATTAATGTGATATTAGTATAAACCTTCTAATTAATGTGATATTAGTATAAACCTTCTAAATAATGTGATATTAGTATAAACCTTCTAATTAATGTGAAATTAGTATAAACCTTCTAATTAATGTGATATTAGTAGAAACCTTCTAATTAATGTGATATTAGTATAAACCTTCTAATTAATGTGAAATTAGTATAAACCTTCTAATTAATGTGATATTAGTATAAACCTTCTAATTAATGTGATATTAGTATAAACCTTCTAATTAATGTTATATTAGTATAAACCTTCTAATTAATATGATATTAGTATAAACCTTCTAATTAATGTGATATTAGTATAAACCTTTTAATTAATATGATATTAGTATAAACCTTCTAATTAATGTGATATTATAAATCTTCTAATTAATGCGATATTAGTATAAATCTTCTAATTAATATGACAAACCTTCTAGCCTTAAAACATAAGTAAAATTAAGCATTTGAAAAATGTCAATAATTCATTTTCCTTAAGGGCTATAGTAGGGGGATTTTTGGTGTTACTTATTAATAATATGACCTAAAATGACTGGACTGATGTAGGTGGTTATTGCTGAATTATAAAAAAATTCTAATATTTTTTTATTGATGACAAGATTCAATTCACATTAGGCAATTTACTCCTAACCAGTTATGACTATCAAATGATGAACCAGTAAACATTCAAATGTTCAGACTCAATAATAGCTTTGCCAATTTTTTAAAAGGTCTGGGTAAAATTTCAATTGACTTGTGGTCTCAAAAAAAAAAGTATACGTTTCATTTATTTAGAAACATCACAACTATTGTGATTATGTATTGACTTACGCTCATCACACTTTGCTATATTAGTTGCAGGTGACTATAAGCATAAAAGATATCTTTTTTTAATAAAAAAGATAATTTATTTACATTCATGTACTATTTGTAACTATTACTAGAATTCTAAAAGCTGTTATAATAAAGTGTAATGCAAATTTTATTTTAGAAATCTAAAAAAGATAAGGTTGTTGAATCAGAGAGGAAATCTAACAAATATCCTAAACGTGCATGTAAAAGTAAAATAATACAGTATAGAGATTCTCAAAGTGATGGGGTAAATATTTGTATTGTTATTGGTAATTTTTATATTATATTTTTATTAACAGTTTTAGTTTAAGGTGTTGTTACATTTAAAGTTATAGATTATCATTTACTGCAATCAGTCAGGTTACCCTTTTTTAGAAAATAATTTAAATTTTAGTATTTATTAAAATAAGATAAATAAGTAATTAAAATACATTTTTAAATAAGTAATTAAAATACATTTTTAAATTTTGTTTGAGTATCAATCAATTATAGTCTGGTAACTCTGCCACTGGTAACATATAGTCCAGTATAACCTGCTGTAATGGAAAAATAATAACTAATTTTTTTTTGAAAATTTTTCTTTTATATAAAGCCAAATCAGTGAAATTTTTAATTATTTTTCAATATTTAAAACCCTCTTTCTATACAGTTACATATTTATGCATATGATATGAAATCCAATATTCTTGTTAGTATAACCATAAGAATGTTAGTGAAGACTGTATTTACATGAATTAATAATGCTAGATGAAGAAAATGACATTGTAACATAAGATCTAAGCAATCTGAAACTTTATATTGTTTTGGAGGTCTGGTTTCAAATGTAAGTAATTCATTTTATTCCCACATTCAGTTTTTTGTGGATTTTTTTTAGTAACAGCTCTACACCTTATAAATATGCTTTTTATATTTTTTTAAGTTTGTACTTTATAAGTAAAAAGTAAGGGGTTTGAACACATTTTTTGCTTATAAAGTAAGAGCACCATTACTAAATATAATTCATAAAATTTATAATGTCTTGATTATAAAGGTCATTTAATCATAAAGCCTTGAAACTGTTAATATTTATTTATTCTACAAAACATTATTATATGATGTGATGTCTTCAGCATATTAGTATTATAAGATGTGATGTCTTCAGCATCTTAGTATTTTACGATGTGATATTTAAACTTTATGAAATTTATACACTGAATTGTGCAATAATTTTTTGAAAGCAATGTAAGCTCATCATACACACAATTTAATTTAAATTTTCACGTTTTAGCAATACATTACTTGAGAGTGAAATTCTCAATATAGTTTTTGCAAGATTTTGAAAAAGTTTGTTTTATAACACTGTTAAATTATATACCATCTTGTTATTTTAATAACTTTATTATTTTTTGAAAAAGTTAGTATACCTTAAAATAAATATAAATTTTTATGCTAAATTTTTTCTTATTTCTTCAGAATACTACAAGTGATGAAGTTAATAAAATTGAAACTATTGGTAACTTAATTATTTTATTGTTTTGTTGAATACTTGTTTTAGTCAAAAGTTCTGTTTGTTTTAAATACTTAAAACATTTTTAAAGTTTCTAAAATTAATTATATAAAAATTAAGTATTTTATACTAAGTAATTAGGAAAGTTAGTTAAACTATTAGATTAGATGATGATGATGATGATGATGATGATGATTGTTATCATTATCTTCATTATCATCAGCATTATCACATCTTCATCGTTTTAGTTAGGTACCATCTGATGGTTGGTATCACAGTCTATACATAATCTTACTCAATACTTTTTTATGTTTATAATTTTCTATTATCTATTAATAGTCTATACTTTTATAAATTGCACAAAAGTACTACAAAACACATATTTTCACTAAAATGAAAACATTTGAATGAAAAATATCTTACTTTGAATCAAACATTTTCTAAAAATCATAAATTTAAAAGTAAAAGCATTTAAAGTAAGAAAACTGAATAAGTAAAGCTAACATAAAAATGTTGAATAAGTAAAGTAAATAAAAATGTGTTTTTTTATTTCAGTGTTATAAATTTATTTTTAAAATCTTTAAGATACTG